ATTGCCGTTGAAACCTGCATGCTGAAGCCCACACGCCTATGTTCGTTTATTAAGCCCCAAGCCCGAAACAATCGCTAACCGTTAGACTCCGTTAGACCACAACCCCAAACCCCGACCCCCCCCCACCCCCGGTCCAAAAAAAGCTCGGAGCAGCCCCCTCAAGCCGGCAAGCCTCCAAGAGGCGGACGCCAGTTGCGAGAGCTTGAGCCTGGACGGAAAGTGGAGCTGCTTGGGGTCCGTTGCAGTGCTGAGGGTCCCAGAGTGCAAGCAAGGCTTTGCTGGTTCTTACTATTCGGGGCCCTCGGTCCTCGATCATCCTTCCAACTCCCCCACTGTCACACTTGGACTCACTACCAAGCTACCAAGCTACTGAGGAAGACCGAGCTTTTCAGATCTTGAGACGCCAAGTGCTGGAGACTTCCCTTGCTGCGCAAGATCTACAAGCTCAGCGGCTGGACGGCAACGGTCAGCCTTTTTTGTTTCAAGGGTTGAAGATCCAAGGTTAACGAGCCTCACCTTGCCTGCCCGTTTAGCATCCTTGGCTCCATACCAGGACCGTCCCACGTTCAGAGCCGCTCTGCACGTGTTTGGGCGCTCGGGTGCGAGAGCCTGCAGCAGTTCAACGATAATCTCAAGGCAGAGATCGCCCTACTCCACAAAGAGCAGCCAGGCAGACATGGCCAAACCCTATAAACCCGTAACCCTGTAATCGGATTTTTAAACCCCAACGCCGAAATCGGTTTAGGAGTCTAGGGTGAGTAAGCTTCTCTCCATGCAGCCAGCGTCGTGTTGTCTTCGAGCCATGGTTCTGGCCCATATCCAATTGTAAACGCTTGCGCGCGCCGCCTCGGCAGCCGGGCTGTAGCGTCTAGAGAGGGGGGTCCCAGAAGAAAGTCTCAGGGGTCCAGCGGCATCGGATTTCGGCTCCGACAACCGGCTTGGGCAGGTCGCACAGGGCAGGGGAAGAACATAAGTTTTTCTGGTTATAAAGGGGAGGGTTGAGGAGGGGGAAGGAGACCAGAGAATAGTCCTGGATTGATGCCAGGATTGTACCTGAACAGTAGGCGTTAACGGGGAAGAAACGCCGGAGCAGGGACACAAACCGAAGTGCTCGCCTTCCGTACAAACTTATTTGGCACTGCAGAACATTCATGAAAATCCATACACCTTTGAGGCGATTGGCTCTTTGACAAGAACACATGCGAAACGCTTGTACTGCCCGGGTTGTCCGTCAAAGTGGTGGGGTTGTACAAGCCCGCATGATACTATGCTGACTACAAATTTTGCCAGTGCCGGGGACGCACAGTACTCTCACACTGGTAGGGGTAAGATGGGGTAAGGCCGGGTACAGCCTTGCCAGCTGAGGCTTTGCCAGCGCGACGACGAGCTATTTGAGGCTAAGGACTGGCTGATGAGTCAAGCCATGCAGTGACTTGCCAGCCTGATGGCATTCCCAGCTTGAATCGGGGAGGGCTTTGGGGACGTGGTGGTTGAATATCGATACGGCGCAGTACTGCCTTGCTAAGGTGCGTTGGGGTATGTATTGCGTTGTATTGCACGGCGCGATGCAGTGCGGTACGTTGTTCCTCCTGCCGCGACGCACAAAATTTGGTGCGCTGCTGGAAGCTGTAGTTTCCCAGACAAAACCTATCGCAACCTCGGACTTGCACGTTCCCCATAGCAAATCGATGCTCGGAGGATGGAGCCGGGAGTGCTGTGCCTGCCAATGTGCACGACGTTCTATGAGACCCTATAAGCAGTCTTCGGCCTCGGCCACGTCTGCGCTGTGACGAGAGCGCGAACAGACTGTCAGAAGAAATGCAAGCGCTGCTCACACGCAACTTTCGGTCCCGCCGCGTATGATGCTGTGCACCAACCAAGACCCTCGTATGTCCGTGACGTTGGAACCCAAAAAGTTAGTAATGTAGCAGAGAGTACCACAGTGCTCCAAAGCATGCTATCGTCGACCACGTCTTCCATAGATATGCTATGCTGCTGCTACAGTATACTGTACCACAGCTGAAAAAGCTTTGGATGCTTAGGATCGGTGCATTGCAAGAATCCGCGCCGGATGCTTCAGCCCAGACCGACCCCTCGATGTTTCAGCAGCTTGCCTCAATCGCTGCTCTCAGTGACGCGGCGCACTGTAGCATCATCGTGTATGCTGCGCGCTGTGCAGCCCAGGTCTTCGAAGGAGTCTCGGACGATGATTGCTTGCAGGGCGGACGTTGAGGTTGTGGACCCGTGCGACCCTTCATGGCTCTTGATGCAACTTGGCCGCGTAACACTGAGGAAGGGCACGTCCAGTGGATTCTGCGTAAAGTCCAGCGGGCGAGCAAGTCCCGAGGCCGAGCCTGTTGGAATACCTTTCCGCGCCTTGCCTTGCAAGAGTAGTGGTGAGTAGTGGCTGGAAGGGACATGAAACACTTGGAAACACGTGACAGATCTGGCAGAGCCCTAGCCGGGAAGGGGACACCTGCAGTTGTTCCCAAATAGGTGGATGACATTTTGGAGTGGCGCCGGACATCTCGGCAGACCAGAAGTCCCAGGGCAGGGAGCTTATTGCAGTTTTGTGTAGGCCCGTCCGATGCAACGTGCATGCATTGCTGGAAGATTAGGACTAGGACACGTATTGCAATCACTATCAGAGCAACGTAAACTAAGGTCTTGATACAGCACCTGACCGAAATGGGCAGGTTGGACAGGTGCGGGTGCATCCTGAAATGCTTCGCTTCTGCACGTTGCATGGCTCGTGCACCATGACTGCGCAGGTGCGAGTCAATTCTCGGTTTTTCTGCAAAATGGAAGTCCATGGCAAATGACCCTCGCGCCTTCGATGCCAACATTGCAAAGGATGTCACGCAGCAGAAGTTCTTTGAGTGTCTCTTGGCCACTTAATGCGCATGATCCGCGGGGACTAGGTGTGTGTTTACTAAATGTAGGGTGCTCGGCTTTTCAATCTCAGGCCGATGGTGGTGTATGAGGCTGACAAGAGCCTGCTACACCCAAATGTTTCCCGAGAGGGATGTCTGGCATATCACCCAAGAAAACCTTCGACATTTGTTTGTGCACTGCCGCGACGTGGATGAATCTGTGAGTTGCTCCGCGCACCATCTTATTCTGAACCATGCGTATGGCTGCCACCCTTCTGTGCAGCAAGAGATCGCGGAAGGCATGCTGGGCTTAATGGGAGAGCTCTTACCAGAGTTGCCAGAAGAGTCCGAAACTGAAGTGAGCAAAGCGGCCGCGATCCAGGCAGAGAAGTGCTCCGCGAATCTTGAATGGGTTCTGCGTGCACTGACGAGGCCTCAGCGTCAGAGGTGGGTGTCCTTGCTGGTCAGACTCCTACATCTCCTACAGGGTCAGAACCCATCCCAGACCACGCTGGTTCATCGCCTGACGCTCCTATGGCGGGCGGATGACGATCCCAGACGCAGCTATGCAGAAGCAGACAAGCAGCTGAAGACTTTGTCGCAGCATGGGAGCCGAGATATAAGGAACGCGCTTCTCAGGCTCCGCTTGTGCTAAGCTTGTCTCACCCAGCCAAAGAGCCAGCTGCCGAAAAAGTGCATGCGGAACAAGGTTTTGCAAAGGAACCGGCTCTATCCCTGTTCCAGGGTTGCGGTCTCTGGGCTCATAGCGGACAGCCGCCTCGTTCCCGGCCATATCCAGCCATGCCGAAGGCTGTTTCGCAGATCGCTGAGGCTCGGTGCATGCAGGTGCTCTGATAACATTACGCTTAACATGGACACTCTGATCCCGCCGGACTGGTTACATGGACGTTTTCTCGCGCTGGCATGGGTGCTTCGGCCACTGGATGCACTGATAGCAGAACATGCGTGTTCTTTTTGCGTTGGCACCGATGCTCTGGTCAGTGAACGCGCTGGGTAACAAGCACGTGCGCGCATGGCCACTAGATGTTCTGTTAACATAGATGTTCTTTTGTGAGAGCACGTTCTTATCGCTAGGGCATGGGTGCGTTGGCCATTGGATGCACCGGCAACACGCACATGTGCATCGTGTCGCTGTCACTTTTCACATGCATGCAAAGACTGATCAACCGTCCAACCGAAACTCGAAACGGCCTCTTCCTGGGCCGATGCCGTCCTGAGCTGCGTCCAGGCATCTTCGAGTGCTTCCGGACTGCTTTTCGCAAGTGCAGCAAAAGACTCATGCGCGTTCCTCGCCGCCAAGCTCGAACTGAGGGCTGTTGCCCGATGCTGATTCAGCAGCCTTGTCCAAAGCATACACACAGCAATGCAAGCCAAAGCTTGGAAGATCTTCGTGATTTGGCCCATCCATGCCCCCACGATATGTCCGGGTCAGCAGGCTCAGGGCACCCAGTCGCCACAGCGTCCTTTCCCGTGTTACGAACGCATCCAGTGGCCAGAGCATCCGTATTGCGGGTGGGTGGCCATACGGATGTGGGGTTTCATGGCCTCGCTACCGTAAGGCGGTAGAATACGTGGTCTTGGAGTCGGGGCCTTGCATAGTAATGGTTCAGGTAGGGAGTGCGAGGTGTCAGTCAAAAACTTTGGGCACCGCGGACGGAGCCCTTGTCCGTCTGGTTAGCTCTTCAGAATTAGCAATGACTGACCACGTAGAGTGCCAGCAGGCAGAAGAGCCAGGTGAAGCACGTCAGGCATGGGGCCAAGGATTTTTGCGAAAAGGGTCATTAAAGGCAGAGTCTTAGCTTGGGTTGGGGCACACAGGCACAGGCTCGTGGGATCTCGTGAGGTTTTCGGATTGCCACGTTGTTACAACACTCGAGGAAGCTCATTGTCTCAACCGAGTAGCAACCGCCGGCTGGGCATGGAGTTCATGTGTTCGGTTTAGTCTTGTTTGTGCTGCAGCTGTTGTGATGCTCCAGGGCCCCTGAAGACTTACACACAGAGAGCCATGGACACCCTGAGCCTTCAGCTCTGAATCCATACACGGGTTTAGAGAGGTTTCCGGGGGGGTGCAACCAGTTTCCCCACACTCCAACCGGTATCAGGATCAGGACATCTGCGCCGCAGGGCAGAAGCAGCTGAGGAGGCGGTGCAGGGAGGCTGTGTTTGCCTTTGGGTTGGGAGCTCAAGAGCATTCAAGAGCTCAGGTCCGGCATAGGGCAAGTTGTGAGCACATGTCTTACATTTACTCTCTTTCTTTGCGCTCACCTTGGGTTGCCTAGCCCCTGCGGCTCCATGTCGTCCAAAATCGCATACTGAGCGAATGTTTTGAAGCACATGAAATGTGTGAGGAGCATATGCTGTGTACAGGGCGGCCGGGAGGGATCTGATCTCATGAGTCGTGCAGCCGTGAAAGCTCGAGTGGGCACTGATGGGCCCAGCTCGAGGGCTGCACATTACGCTTTCTCCCAGCCCACCCACCCTGGAGTGGAGATTGCGGGAAAGCATTTGATATCAGAGCAGAATGTCACCGAGGCAAATGCACCGGCAAAAGAAGACCACTTCGTCTTTTGAGCAAGGGCGGAGGGCGGGAGTGCAATAGCAGTAAGTGCCCTCAACATTGGGCAACGTGCCTCGTGATTGCCGTGACTTCCACCAATCTCCGTGTGATTCGCCGGATTCCTGACTTCAGCTGTCCGATCTGATTCTTGTAAACCCAAACGAGTGCACTAGAAATAGGCCTGGTCGGTGTTCTGATTGATGCAGATGAAGCCCATGCTCAGTGTTGTGGCAGCCTTCCTTATTGTTATAATGCTCACTAGTGTTCCATACCGTTTTCAAGTCCGACCACGCCGTTTACGTGCAGAACTTTGGTATAAACAGACAGGAACAGACCCTCGTCAATGCTGTTGTGAAGAGGAACTTGACTATCTAGCATCCTTTGCAACGACATCCATGACAGTTATTTCTTTGCTCGATCATGTTGCCTTCACTTATCTCTTGATTAAAGCTCTTGATGTTTCAGGAGCACCGAGCCTCAGAATGTGAATCTCAAGATGTCTTTGCTTGATTGAGCGTCCAGTGTTTCGGGATGGTGGGCTGTCAACGGAGGTTGGTCGTCGATGTTTGTGGACCCGACACAAAACACACACAAAGTAGTCGCGCCACCTGCTAGAGGAGCGTTGTGTGCATATTGGTTTTGGCATGTCGGGGAGGTGGGGAGTTGAGGCTCGTTGCCAAGGCGAAGACTCACACGAATGGCCCCCTTTCCACTGGAAACGCGCATGCCTTCAATTCAAAGGTTGCCGATGCCACCGAGAGAAGGAACGGTGAAAAGCAAGTTGACGCAAACAGATTTGCAACAGATGCCAAAAAACATATGCGACAAACAACAGCCTGGCTTGGAGATCAAACAGCCGATGCATTGCAAACCTATGCGATGCAAGAGTACTGCAGGTGTTTCTGGCGGCTCGGCTGAAGCACAGGATCTAATGGGGAGTGGAAGATGAGGGCGGAGTGGTTGAAGCACATGACCTATAAAAACTCATAGACAACAAATAGGGAAGGCGCTTTGGGTTGGCTATTCCTCGGAAGAATCAATCAATCCCCCATCCCGTTCTCCAAGTAGAAACCGGTGCAGGCCGCAGCGGCCACAAAAAAGGCCGACTGTTCCAGGATAGCCGTGTTTCTGCAACTGACCTAGACCTGTGCAGGCTGCAGTCGTGCACATGATGACATTTGTGCGTTGAGTGTCCGCCCGAGACTGTGCCCCATGTGCCCAGAAGAGTGCGTCCTCCGCGCTGGTAGCTTCTAAAGGGGTGCTTCTAGTTTCCAACCTGCAGCACAAGCTTTGGAATAGCAATCTATATTGTGCAGCACGCTCGCTCCTTCACCAGTGGTGTCACACACCACGTGAATTTTGAGCTGTGTCCTGCTGTTTTGCGGCATGCTGATGTCAAGTTCCATCCGTGCTAGAACATGCCCGCTTGATGCGGGGTGCACAGGATTGACGAGGTTATGGGTACTGTAGAGTTTTTGGACTAGGGTTTAGGGGTTCATGGTTTCAGAGTTGAACTGCTTACCAGGCTTTACAAAGCCCGAGGGCTTTTCACTCCCCCCCCCTACCCTTCCACCTTAATTATTTATGTCCTGGAGCGTCGGTTTTGCTCTTAGGTCGCTGGCCAGCCCTAGCTTTACTAAAGGCTAAATAGCGTAAGCTTTAAAAGCAATCTCAGCCTTTGCCAGGCAGCCGCCCTAACCTACGAGGCGCTGCTTCACAGCAACCGCGCGACTCGCTTGCACTTTGGATAAGACCCATCGGGATGACTCCTCCCCCCTCCGCCACCCCCCTATTCATACATACCCCAAAACCTCAACATTGTTGAAGCATTTGGAAATATGAGTTCCATCGCCATGTCACACTAAAATACGTTTTTATGACAGAAGACGCCCCATCGCAATGTAAGACATGACACATCCAAAACAAGCCTCTCCTCTTCTCTCTCTCTCTCTCTCTCTCTCTCTCTCTCTCTCTCTCTGTCTCTCTCTCTCTCTCTCTCTCTCTCAGCTCTCTCTCTCTCTCTCTCTCTCTCTCCATAGTGTCGCGCCTCTCTTTCATCCCTGTTCGAGCAGAGTCCCGGAGCCCGGGAATTTTCAACTCCTTATAACCCGAGCAGCCCCACCCGTCAAACCACCGCCTGAGTCTAAGGAGCTTCAAAAAGCAAGAAAAGAAGCCAAGGCGCCTGGGAGTATGGTTGAAGCTTGTGGCTTTGCACCCTAATCCGTGGAAACCTTACACCCTGAAACCTGAAGTGAACACCTTGCTATAACCTTCAGTGTTATGCAGAACAAACATGACTTTCCGGACACGCACCATGTGAGTTTCAGGGATGTGCCGAAGCATCACTACTTGGGTTCAGGGTTTTCGGGCTGTGGGGTAGAGAGTGAAAGAATCATTTAGCGGGAAGAAGAAGAAGTCTGAGTTGGAAGCTTGAAGAAGCCCCCGGGCTTGCTAAATGCCAACTCCCGCCACCGGCAGGATGCACGGAACGAGAGAGACGCCGAGGTGGGGTCTCATGGCCGTAAGCTAGCTATGGGGAAAGTTCTCTACATCAGGTCCCTGTTCGCGTCCATGATACTTCAAAGTTACGTAATTACTTTTATTTCGGGGACTCAAAATGGGACCTTATAGTAAAAAGAACTACTATACAAGCTGGTGCCTCTTTTAATGGGATGTGTTGGCGGTGCCCATGGTCTTCAGGGATAAGTTCCTAAGCTTTTTCTGGCAGAGGAATGTCAGGAATCATGCTGTCGTGGAGTCGCGTCAGCCTGTGGTACTAAGAAAAAAACGCAGCTCCGGTGCCCTCGATAACCGACAGGAAGCTCTGCTCAAATCCTTTTGATCCATGCCAGGCAGCTCTCCGTGCAAAGGCCGAGGCAAACTTGGTAGCCCAGTAATGGCCTTTTGCCCTGTTTGGGCTGGTCTGGCTTCCCGCATACATTTTTAACCAATCCCCAACAGGGTATCATTGTAATATGGCTGCTGGGCTACCACGGCGTTGAGGGTTTAGGACATTTTGGGGGTCGACTTGAAGGGCAAATTCCCCAGCAAGCTAGGTTCAAAAAGGGCTTTGTGGGGTTGAGGGTTCAGGTTTGAGTTGACGACTGCTTTGCGCGTGTATGTTCTTGGGCGCAGCCCGAAAGCCCGCGACGCTCGAACTACCCCACAGCCTCAAACGTCGAAGTTGACAGACGGTCAGCAACTTTAACAAACCCGGCCGCCGCCAAGGCGCGACGTGGGGCCTTTGCAACTTTATCACTTCCTCCTGAAGCTAGGTAGGCCCTTGCGCCTGAACAACCAGCCCGGGTTGAAAACATGCGCAGGAACAGCTTCGCGAGCTGCGCTGCGCACAGGCCTGAACTTACGGGATATTTCATATGTACTTTCGTTTGGCTGTTGAGGAGAATATGAATATTTTTCAGAGCGTGTTAAAAGCCATCTTCGCAGCTCCTAGGCAAAGAGGGCTCTTTTAGGGGGTCTTGGTAGCCCAGTGATGGCATTTTGCCCTTGTTGGCCACCGAACCTGACTCCAGAGGAGCGCCGTTTGGCTGGGCAATAAAAAGAAGCTCCACAAGAGACTTGCGACTCACGTCTTTCCTCTGTGACATTGGCAGCATGGGCATGCCAAAGGCGACGCCGCGGACTCATTCAATGACGGCTGCAACTGCAGGCCTGCTTCCTCTGATTGTGCGTGGCACATTTGCCTGCTTTCGTGCGGAGGTCCGGCCGCTGGGGTCCGTGTGCCACCACCAGCGTCAGGGTCGGTTCCTGGCCTCGTAGCAACGTGGCACGATCTTTGCACCATGTTTCATGTCCTTGACGACCACGACTGGCGACCAGTCGCGCCCTCCTGCGTCAGCTTCACGATCCTGCCACGAGGCACCCAGCGCAGGCTCCAGACAGAGGCCCATCCCGCCACCGGAGCCCTTGGAGGTCTGTGGCAGGGGGATTGCTGCGAGTGGTGCCGAACTGACTGAGACCTGCGACTCACGTCTTTCCGCTGTGACGTTGGCAGGGCAGCATGGACATGCCACAGGCGACGCCACGGACTCATTCAAGCACAGCCACAGAGTATCCGCTGTGTCGCCTCCTGTGCTTGCAATAAGGACGGCTGTAACTGCAGGCCTGCTTCCTCTGATTGTGCGCGGCACATTTGCTTGCTTTCGTGCGGAGGTCCGCCTGTGCTGCGGGCACTGGCACGGGCATCCACGCCCGTCCTGCCAGTCACGGAGGTCCAGCCGGAGCTTTGCCCTGCCGGCTGCTGGTGGTTGAAATTGCCAGGCCCAGGCAATCCCCCCACCGGAGCCCTTCCAGGCCCTCGGCAAGTTAGTGACTGGTGCATGGTGTCTGGTTTTCATCTCCTGCCCAGGTAGTGCTTCCTCAGATGCCCGAGAACTTGACGCCGGAGGAGCGCCATGCTCGAGCTTGGATGCTGTAGCCCTGTAGGTGCCTTTGTACCTTTGAATTCGAGGAGCAGCGCAAGCATCAAGCGCTCTACGTCACCACGCTTCAGGTAACAGCTGCAGTGATCTTCGTGCCTGACCTCAGGCTCCAGCTGTGCCAGGCTTCCCACGCCCTCCGTGACAAGTTTGGAATGATGGGGATCTTGGAGGCAGGCTGCCCCAGAGCCTGTGTGCAATTGTAAACAAGCTGCTGCGCGCAGGCGGTTCGCATGTCAGATCCGCATCTTAACATGCTGGCCTTGGGTATGGATCCGACTGGCAGGACTGTGAGAAACTTTCAGGGAAAGGGCTTCTTGCAGTGTGTGTGTGTGTGTGGCTCCGCAAGACTTCCACGACTTTTCGTGGCTCTGCAGTAACGAGACGCCACCGCGCCGGGAGCCAGAGTTCTATGTCCCCCGAAGCAGCTTGACAGCAACCTCATGCAGCATCTTTGCCTTAGCAGCTTAGCAGCTTTGCAGCGATGTTCCAGGCTACTTCGTGAACCCTCCGAAGCCGAAGTTGGTGGCTTCGGCGCGTGTTGCCCTTCTCTTGCACAGTTTGACTGAGTTGCCATTCTGGGGCCGCGCTTTCGTCATACCTTTCTCCTGGCCTTAAAAGGCAGTCAGTCCACAAGCCAGCCCTCGGCCCTCACCGTTCCGAAGAAAGCTGAGTCCCAGGTTGAAGTCAAGCCCCAGGGCTGAAGGTAAAAGTGGGCTTGGGCCGATTTCCGTCTGCCAGTGCTTGCTACTTCCAGCTTCGCGGACACTGTAAGAAGGCAAGGGTTCCATGAGGTAAATCGGAAAGCCGAAAACTTTGGGGTTGACAATCCCTAACATGCAGTGCAGCACGGCGAGATGAGCTCATGTGGTCAACTATCCTGGAGAAGCTACCTGCCAGGAACACTTCTCAAAGTTTTCCCTGGAGACTTTGTTCTACATGTTCTACAGTATGCCCAGGGACATGCAACAAGTTCCATTCCTAGTCCGGGTTGGGTGCTTTGCTTGTTCCGGCAAGAGAGGCTTGATGAAAAGAGATCTTTGGTGCATGCCTAGGCTCTTGCGGCATGGCAGTTGTGCGCCGGGTTGTCTCAGTTTGTCTCGACCTGACACGGTTCCTTGGCCATGCAAAGGTACGAGCGTGGATGGCTGTACCACAAGACGGAACAGATGTGGATAGCGGCGCAGCCGCAGGAGCGAGGGCTGGCTCTGGCTATGCGATCGTGCAAGCATGCCGCGTGCAGGATGATGGCGCAGGCAATCTGCGCCTCGTGTACTATGACCCCATAGCTTGGAAGCTCAAGTACGTGCTGAAGGAAGCCGGATGCCCGGAAGTTTGTCGGGGAAGTGCAGTTCAGTAGAGTGAAGCTGGCTTGCCTTGGCCGACCAGTGAGTGGTGGGCGAAGGTGGATCCTAGCGGGTTCCTCACCAAGGCCCCGCATGGAATCTTGCTCTGCTTGCATCTTTACATCAGAACGGCCCGCTCAGGAAGACGTGAAAGTGCGAGGAGTCACCCCGTAGGACCAGCTGAGTGGTTGAGCCGTGCTGGGCCGTATTCGGTCAGCACGCAGGTCAAGGAGCAGCCGCTAAAGCGGCGGTTGCTCGCGGTTGCGGAGCCAAACTAATCGCTATTCAAGGCTCCCCAAAACTAGAGATTGGATGTCCCGGAAGCATTGACAGCAATGAGTATCGACATTCCTTGTTTCATCAATGCATCCGTCCATCTATCCATCTGCACCTCATCGATTCATCTTTCCTTCTATCCTTTCATCCATTCATCCCTGCATCCATACATGCTGGCGTGCATGCGTGGTTCTTTGGCCACGCCCATCCATCTGTCCCATCCATCCCTTCATTCCCAGATCCCATCACTGCTCGAAGCATCAAAACATCCTGATGGCCGGTGGCCGGCAGATGCTCCAAGTGCAGCCGTAGTTCGCCATGTTTCGTGTGGAGACTTCCACAGCTGTGCCGTGGATGAGAAGCATCGGGCCTGGTTATGGGGCGCGTACTATATCGGCATCGCACACCAGTGCAGGCAGGAAACAAAGGTCCTGGAGAAGAGTGCAGAACAAATGCTGGTCCTGGACAATGACCACAAACAAGTCTCGGCTTGGGGCTCTAGTGCCATGGGACAGTTTGGATTGCAAGACAGATGTGGATTCTCCGAGCTCACCTTGCCGGTGTGCATTCCTCAAGCCGATGGGTCTGCGCGTGCCGCTACTTCCATGACTGCCGAGCAGGTCCAAGCCGTGGTGGAGGGTGCAACTGCCCTGGTTCTGCATGGCATTACGATGTTCTCGCGAATGGGTTTTAGTCTGAACCACATGCTTCTGTGCTCCTGGACCCTTGTTTCAACAAAGCCTCAACAGAACTGAAGCGGGCGCACATGCCCACACGCAGACAAAAAGCGGCTTGGCTTTTGCCCCAACGCCGCACGATGCCGCACGGTTCGCTCTCGTTAGAATGCATACCGCGAATCCTACTTCAGTGGCATATGGCGGTTCAACCTGTTTTCAAAGAGTTGACACGTTTGCAATGGGACCAGCTGGAGTGTCGCGCCAGGGAGCTCGCAGGGCTTTGCAGTAGTTCAACGATCCAGGAGAAGAGGTCCGAGACAATTCTCGATTTTTCGGCAAAGCGGGAGTGCATGGGAAAGGACCCTTGTGCCTTCGACACCAAGACTGCAAAGGATGTTGCGTAGCGGAAGCTCTTTGAGTGTCCCTTGGCCGTTAGTGCGCATGATCTGCGGAGACTAGCTGTGTTTACCAAGAACGGGGTTGCCCGCTCTTCAATCCCAGACCGATGGTGGTGTATGAGGCTGACAAGAGCTTGCTACACCCAGATGTTTCCGGCAAGTGCCATCTGCCATATCGTCGAAGCAAACCTTCGACATTTGTTTGTGCACTGCCGCGATGTGGATGAATCCGTGAGTTGCTGCACACACTATCTTATTGAGACGCATGCCTGTGGCAGCCACCCTTTTTGTGGAGCAACAGATTGCGGAAGCCATGCTGGGCTTGACGGGAGAACTGCTGCCGGAGTCCACTGAAATCAGCAAGGAGGTCTCGATCAAGGCAGAGAGATGCTCTGCGAGTCTCGAATGGGTTGTGCGCACACTGACGAGGCCTCAGCGTCAGAAGTGGGTGCCCTTGCTGATCAGACTCCTACATCTCCTACCGGGTCCGAAGACCCAGATCCCACTGATTGATCGCCTGACGCTCCTGTGGCGGGCTGATGACGATCCCAGACGAAGCTACGCAGAAGCAGACCAACAGCTGAAGGCTTTGTCCCAGCATGCCAGCCGAGATGTGAAGCAAGCGCTTTTCAAGCTCCGCTTGTGCTGAAGTTTGTCTCGCACACAGTGAAGTCGGCATGCTGAGTGAAAAGACGAGACTAGCATGACGCTGGACAGTCCTTCTCCGCACGGGCAATCTCCCGAGTGCTCCTTCCATATCTTGCATTTCTAAAACCAACAGCAAGGGGTAGCTGAGGCTGCTCCACTTGATAGATGAGTCGTCAACGATGTGGGTAAAGGACTTGGGCAGCCTACGACAGCAACGATAGCACAGGGCTTTGCTCCGAGCGCCAGGCAGCTCCAACCATGCATAGCATTTCCCCTTTGTCAAACAGGGATTCCAGTTTGCCTCACGTACATTGCCAGACAGTTATCCAGAAGCGAAGCCTGAGTGAATAAGCAGCAGACAGTGCAAGTGTGACTAGCCACAAAAGGCAGAAACAATCCTGCATGAGTTCCGGAGCGACTGTCAAGAAAGGAACCCCGCGCAGTTCAAGGTACGCTCCTTCCTCCCGCTAACAAACCCTTAGCCGCCTTAGCCCTCAGCCATCCAGTTTCCACGAGATTCTGGATCCGTGCTCGCCAGGCCATCTGTGGCTCAACCCACCAGACACCAGAACCTTGCAGCTCTGCTCTAGAGAGGCCTCAGCGGTGTAGGTGCTAGGATGGATTTCGGGCTTGGAGTTTTGGTATGCTTTAGGTGTTGACCCTTGCAGCACCGCCTTTACAAACACATGTATGACAGGATGTAAGATGGCATCCCTCAAGGCATGAACAGGACAAGTCCGTATCCAAAGTCCAAAATCCTGACACCCTTCTCCGCAGGTAAGATGGCAAGGAAGCTCTGGAGCCTGCACTTGCACAGCACGCCCTGCATCCTATCAGCCATGACTCTTGCCCATGGTGATGTTGCTGCTGTCCTGGTTAGGTGCGGAGCAGGGACCGTGGAGGGGATCATGCAGCTTCTACAAAGACTAAGAAGCTAGTCTCAGCAGGTAGTGTGCTGTCTACCCTAATCGCCTGTTTTTCCTTCACTTCGACTGTCGAGCATCGATCAATATGTTATGGGGGGAGTGGGACGTCACAATGGACATGTACTTTAGCTGGGTTTGTATCTTTCGAAGGTTCTGAGAGTTTTGTTCTGTTCACAGGTCATCTTGCGCGCGCAACGGTCCGCCACCTATGGCGCTATGTATATATATATATATATATATATATATATATGCATATGCAGTTGCAGCCCATTCACGCAAAATGAGCACTTGAGAACAGGCCCCATCCGCCACCCAACCTTTACTCCGTGCTCTTCCAACATAGGACCCCCGCAGCCCTCCCGCCGCCTCTGGCAGAAAAAGCATAAAGGGCGGACTGCCCCTGTCAGGCGGCGACCGCTTTGCCCAGGCCGCGCAACACGTGCAGGCCGATGCCATTGGCCGCTCCGGAAAATGCAAGCTCCGAAGACGTGTGATTTGGTGCGTGAGAGTTTTGGGACACGCCTGACCACCGACATGCTCAGTGCATAGGCACAACACATAGACTTCGAGGACTGAACACCCCAGTGCACGGAAGATTCATGCATTGAATATGTCACAGAATATGTAGGTGGACCGTGGACTTGTGATCCACTCTTTCTGTCTTCGTTCTCAATTTGTGCTGCGAGAGAAAAGGTTCATGGGCTTACATAAGAACTGGTTGGTCCATTTCTCCGACTCTGGCACGTCACTGCTGATGCAGGCTTGGCTCCGGTGGTTCGCCTCGAACCGTAGTAGGCCATTGCCGTTCGAAGACGTAGGTTTCTGCACGGTGGTTCTGCAGGGCTTAAGGATTGGAGACGATCTTGCACACTTGTGCATGGGTATGCTGTGAGAAGTTCTGCGGCGATTGCAAGCTCCTGGATGGTGCACGCACGCTTCCTACGTAGTTAGGATGTTTGGGAGCGGCAGCTATGGTAAGGAATCTGCAGCGCTGGCAAGTCTGAACCGGATGTGGCTACTAGGCCTCCTAGAGTCTTGTCCCTGGTTGACCGGATTCTGGCATCTTCATGTGCAGTTGACGGAGCTCTGAATCCGAGGGTGGTAACACCCAAACAGTTTGCTGTGACCCCGAAACCAGTCAAAGCCTCCAAGCCAAGCCAAAGCCACATAGCAAGAGACAGAGTTTCGGATAAGACCTTGCCAGGCAGCAGCAGCTGAGCCTGCTCCTGTGCTGCATTGCTGGCTTCGAGAATCTAGAACCCAAAAACCACGGTACCAGGGTCGCGGTTGCGCGCTCGACCGCGGAAACAGTGCGCCTTGAACCCCTATAGGCCCTATATATAGGTCCTTCGAGACATTCACAGAACACTCTGTCCCGACTTTTGCGACGAGGGCTGCCATACTGCAACGATTGCTACAAATACTGTGCTTGCGGTTCGGCGCTGCTTGTTGGTGGGACGTTTGGGCGATATTTTGGTCCCGATGATGAACCTTGTAATTAAGTCGTTGCTTCAGCTGCGAGTCCATAGCCCGAACTTCGAAATTGAGAAAAAACCGCCTTGTGCTCAGGCCGTTGCAGGGCAACAGTCAGGGATGCCGCCAGGACTCCTGCCATGTGAGGGCGCCAGGTTAAGAGCCCTGCTCAGTAGGATGCTGAGGGGTGGGGGGGGAGGCCTGAATGTTGAGAAGCGCCCAGGGGTGGATGACAGAGATCTGTGATGGGTATTGGAATGATTGGATAGTTTGGGCTACTTTGGGGGGTACGTTTGGTAGTAGGATTGCGTCCAGAAAATTTGGTCAATGGAGAGATTGGTACACGGCTTCTGCAGGAGATGGCGGCCTGTACGTTTACTGCTGCTGGCTTTCCCAGCGGAATGCAGCCTGGATGCAAATGGTGTCCGAAGACGAGGATCTCTCGATTTGCTTTGTCAGCATGCTCTGTGGCGCTGTGTCCTTTGTCAGCGGGAAGTACTCCAGGTCCTTTTTCAGTAACACCCCTTGCGTTCTTGACTTTCTTGGAGGCCAGCTTGCGATCTTCAGAGAACACCGACTTCAAAATCCGAAGGTGCCGCCCTTAGAGTCTGATGACTTGGGCGGTTCAGGATTCAAAATCCTCAGGGCCTTGGGGCTTTGAGCCGAACACGGACTCGGCATCGCGGTTCTACCTGTGCTGCTAGACTCCTGCTAGAATAAACCCCTACGTAGACCCCAAACATCAACAAGCGCAGCCCTAGTGCAAAAAATTGATGCGTGGGTGCGAAGGAGAGCACGTGGTAGCTTTCGATGATGGCCAGCGCAAGTGCACACGACGCTTGTATATGTGTGCGAAGGCTATATAACGATATACATGAAGACATGCAGACATACCCAGATGCATATTGCACAGCCCCAGAGAGCGTGTCAGGAGCGGTGTCTTCTCCAGCGCTGCTTGGAGCGCACGGAAGGGGTTTTGAGAGTTGTGGGCGTCGGTTGTAAAGGTTCAGTAGGGCTTTAGAGTTGGGTTTCGAGTGTAAGGGTTCAGAAGTCCAAGGGTCTCATGCCTATCACCGCTTTGCTGTAACGTGCATGTTGCCGATGTCCAGCCTCTGCACTGGTACATCGCCTGTGATGCCCAGCGCGGTCGCAAGCTGTAGCCTTGAAGCCGAGGCACCAGCCCGTGAAAGGCCGAGTGAGCACTGGATCGACCGTCGCGACTGCACGGGACCTGGACGTGTCCCCACGCGATGAGACTTCGCAGGAGGCCTCGATCGCTCAGGGGTGCACAGGTCGACCGACATCTATTTGCACCATGGATGCGAATGCTAAAGGAAAAGTATCCCCTTTTTTGCAACCCATGGTACCCAAAGCCTTGAAGCTCTAACCCACAAAACGCCCTGTTCCCACCCAGAATAAGCAGCCATGACAGGCCCAGGAGCCACCTTGCGAAGCCACGATGCAGGCATGTTGGCTTGGGAGTTGAGATGAGTTGAGGGTCATAAGGGTATAACAGGTCTGGTAGGGGTTAGGGTTGGAGGTCTTACCGTTTTTTGTTCTTGAGAGGGTGCCAGTACCATCTTTGGTGAAAGCCCTAAGCCCCTAAGCCCTACAGGCCGATTCGTTGGACGGGCAGCTGGAAGCAACGTCTGTAGTCTCCGAATCGCAAGCACCCCGCACCACCGAAACGCCTCAATGCCTTGAACCCCGGGCCCCCGACCTCAAGCCCTACATCCCACTCCCAAAGGCATAGGCGGCATGGGGCTAAGCGTTTACCGTCAGAATCGGTCAGATATCAGATCCCTGCACTTAGACGGGGAATCAGGGAGCTAGATTCCTTACCCCGCCCCCTTTAGCGGGGTTTAAACAGGGTGCGCAAGGTGCAGCATGCCAAATTGTCCCACTGCCTATGACAATGAAGTTTAAAGTGTCAGTCCGTATGATCCGCACGGATCCAACAAACCGAACATCCTCTTATACGAATTCAGGGGAGTTGGACAAATGTACAGATGCTGGTTCAAGGACGACAGAGCTGGATTGCAGATGCTGGTCTCGCAGCTGGAGCAAGGTGTCTCGGACTTTGCGAATGCGAGGTTCAGGATTTGGGATTCTATAGGGTTCTCAACATGTCGGTTCGTGAGGCATTTCCGACACAGGACGCAAGAGGATTCTGGTCGCAGTCTTCAGCCAGAGCCTTTTCCGACTTCTTGCATTCCCAAACCCCCAAGCCGCAGACCCTTGACCTAACTCGAATAAACCCTTCCGGAGCCTGGTTCAGGCATGTGGTACCTCCAGGAGGAGCTGCGGCGAGAGCGCCAGGAGCGGCATGAGGCGGCGTGAGCGCGCGTAGGTTTGGGAATCCCTGTTTCGGCATTGTATAGGCCTCGTACCATACGTCGGCACGTACCCTTAGAACTTAGCACCTTCCGAATTGCCGTTGAAACCTGCATGCTGAAGCCCACACGCCTATGTTCGTTTATTAAGCCCCAAGCCCGAAACAATCGCTAACCGTTAGACTCCGTTAGACCACAACCCCAAACCCCGACCCCCCCCCACCCCCGGTCCAAAAAAAGCTCGGAGCAGCCCCCTCAAGCCGGCAAGCCTCCAAGAGGCGGACGCCAGTTGCGAGAGCTTGAGCCTGGACGGAAAGTGGAGCTGCTTGGGGTCCGTTGCCCGGTTTAGGGTGTTTACAGTGAGGGTCCCAGAGTGCAAGCAAGGCTTTGCTGGTTCTTACTATTCGGGGCCCTCGGTCCTCGATCATCCTTCCAACTCCCCCACTGTCACACTTGGACTCACTACCAAGCTACCAAGCTACTGAGGAAGACCGAGCTTTTCAGATCTTGAGACGCCAAGTGCTGGAGACTTCCCTTGCTGCGCAAGATCTACAAGCTCAGCGGCTGGACGGCAACGGTCAGCCTTTTTTGTTTCAAGGGTTGAAGATCCAAGGTTAACGAGCCTCACCTTGCCTGCCCGTTTAGCATCCTTGGCTCCATACCAGGACCGTCCCACGTTCAGAGCCGCTCTGCACGTGTTTGGGCGCTCAGGTGCGAGAGCCTGCAGCAGTTCAACGATAATCTCAAGGCAGAGATCGCCCTACTCCACAGAGAGCAGCCAGGCAGACATGGCCAAACCCTATAAACCCGTAACCCTGTAATCGGGTTTTTAAACCCCAACGCCGAAATCGGTTTGGGAGTCTAGGGTGAGTCAGCTTCTCTCCATGCAGCCAGCGTCGTGTTGTCTTCGAGCCATGGTTCTGGCCCATATCCAATTGTAAACGCTTGCGCGCGCCGCCTCGGCAGCCGGGCTGTAGCGTCTAGAGAGGGGGGTCCCAGAAGAAAGTCTCAGGGGTCCAGCAGCATCGGATTTCGGCTCCGACAACCGGCTTGGGCAGGTCGCACAGGGCAGGGGAAGAACATAAGTTTTTCTGGTTATAAATGGGAGGGTTGAGGAGGGGGAAGGAGACCAGAGAATAGTCCTGGATTGATGCCAGGATTGTACCTGAACAGTAGGCGTTAACGGGGAAGAAACGCCGTACAAGCGTTTCGCATGTGTTCTTGTCAAAGAGCCAATCGCCTCAAAGGTGTATGGATTTTCATGAATGTTCTGCAGTGCCAAATAAGTTTGTACGGAAGGCGAGCACTTCGGTTTGTGTCCCTGCTCCTGCCCGGGTTGTCCGTCAAAGTGGTGGGGTTGTACAGTCCCGCATTATACTATGCTGACTACAAATTTTGCCAGTGCCGGGGACGCACAGTACTCTCACACTGGTAGGGGTAAGATGGGGTAAGGCCGGGTACAGCCTTGCCAGCTGAGGCTTTGCCAGCGCGACGACGAGCCATTTGAGGCTAAGGACTGGCTGATGAGTCAAGCCATGCAGTGACTTGCCAGCCTGATGGCATTCCCAGCTTGAATCGGGGAGGGCTTTGGGGACATGGTGGTTGAATATCGATACGGCGCAGTACTGCCTTGCTAAGGTGCGTTGGGATATGTATTGCGCGGTATTGCACGGCGCGATGCAGTGCGGTACGTTGTTCCTCCTGCCGCGACGCACAAAATTTGGTGCGCTGCTGGAAGCTGTAGTTTCCCAGACAAAACCTATCGCAACCTCGGACTTGCACGTTCCCCATAGCAAATCGATGCTCGGAGGATGGAGCCGGAAGTGCTGTGCCTGCCAATGTGCACGACGTTCTATGAGACCCTATAAGCAGTCTTCGGCCTCGGCCACGTTTGCGCTGTGACGAGAGCGCGAACGCAGGCAGAAGAGCCAGCTGAAGTACGTCAGGCATGGGGCCAAGGATTTTTGCGAAAAGGGTCATTAAAGGCAGAGTCTTAGCTTGGGTTGGGGCACACAGGCACAGGCTCGTGGGATCTCGTGAGGTTTTCGGATTGCCACATTGTTACACCGCTCGAGGAAGCTCATTGTCTCAACCGAGTAGCAACCGCCGGCTGGGCACGGAGTTCATGTGTTCGGTTCAGTCTTGTTTGTGCTGCAGCTGTTGTGATGCTCCAGGGCCCCTGAAGACTTACACACAGAGAGCCATGGACACCCTGAGCCTTCAGCTCTGAATCCATACACGGGTTTCCGGGGGGGTGCAACCAGTTTCCCCACACAGAACCCAAGAGTCCAACCGGTATCAGGATCAGGACCATCTGCGCCGCAGGGCAGAAGCAGCTGAGGAGGCGGTGCAGGGAGGCTGTGTTTGCCTTTGGCTTGGGAGCTCAAGAGCATTCAAGAGCTTAGGTCCGGCATAGGGCAAGTTGCGAGCACATGTCTTACATTTACTCTCTTTCTTTGCGCTCACCTTGGGTTGCCTAGCCCCTGCGGCTCCATGTCGTCCAAAATCGCATACTGAGCGAATTAGTAGTAGTAGTAGTAGTAGTAGTAGTAGTAGTAGTAGTAGTAGTAGTAGTAGTAGTAGCAGTAGCAGTAGCAGTAGCAGTAGCAGTAGCAGTAGCAGCAGTAGCAGCAGTAGCAGCAGTAGCAGCAGTAGCAGCAGTAGTACCAGTAGTAAGTAGTAGCAGTAGTAGCAGTAGCAGTAGTAGCCGTAGTAGCAGTAGTAGCAGTAGTAACAGTAGTAGCAGTAGTAGTAGTAGTAGTAGTAGTAGTAGTAGTAGTAGTAGCAGTAGTAGCAGTAGTAGCAGTAGTAGCAGTAGTAGTAGTAGTAGTAGTAGTAGTAGTAGTAGTAGTAGTAGTAGCAGCCTCGGCCCTCGAGTAAAGGCCACCACTATTACTAGACGTAGATTATATGATGACTATCAGTATGATTGTATTCTTACCGTATTGCTATGTTTTTGTCCATGTATTATTATTATGTGTATTATGGAAGTCACTATGGTTCGCAATGTTGTCGTGTTATTGCTGTTCTTCTTCTTCTTGTGAGTGGAGTTCGTGAGGTGTTGGTGCAGACAGTGACGTTTCTGAACGCTGCAGCGTTTGGCGCAACTGCTGAGCAAAAAGGAACTGCTGAACTGCTGCACGAGCTCTGCTTTTCACATCAAAATCTAAGAAATCCTTGTTCGAAACATGTGCTTAGCTTGAAACCTCCCCCTGAAGCCTCTAATGAAACCCCCTGAAGTTTGAAAGCCCAGTGGCTATAACTTGAAAGCAACCCATCGAAGCCTTGCAAGCGCACCTTCGAACACATTTTGGGTGCTGAAGGGTTGTATTTCACATTTTTAAAGCTTCATTCATGCTTTCCGACGTCTGACATCTCCCAGCATCGGAATTTTGCTCCTAGATCGCAGTTGGATGCCTGCCAGATTGATGCTTTTGCTGCCGCAGCTAGCTGGGCTTCAACGAGCACATTGCATTCGGGCCCTTTGCCTTTGAGTAAAGGCCACCAAGGTTGCAGGACGGGCGTAGCAAGAGGTGCTGAGAGTTTGCCTAGCTGGACGAAGCATGTTAGCTCTTGCCAACATGTTGGATGTGGCAGGAACATGGTGGCACTTTGGTATTTACTGAGCATTTCTATGGCTGGCTTCGTGCCAGGCAGTTGCACCAGGGCTCTGCGGGTGCTGTTGTGCAGATCGCCGATGTGTTTCTTTGCTTGGATGAGTTCGTGCTTCTTGGAGAAGTTGGCAGCCGTAACAGGGATGCCTATCAAACAAAGTTGCAATCAACAACAGCAATAACCAAACACGAGTTAAATCGTAATCAAAAGAAGCAGAGGCACGAAAACATGTAGGACTGTCCTAGCTGTTGGTGGTCTGAATTGGACGAACGCAGAACTGTCAGCGCTTTTGGCGGCTTATGGTCAACTGTCTTCGTCATTCGCAGGGCAAGTTGAAATATGCAGATTTTTAATTTGTAGAACTGTCATCGCTTTTTGGGAGGAGGGAGGATTGTTTGCTTCATTTTGGGTCCTCTGGTCCGCTGCTTCTTTGGTACTCTGGTCCCCTGGTCCTCTGGTGTCCTGGTCTTCTGTCCCCGGGTCCTCTCGCAAAATGCAGAACTGTCTTCATTTTTTCTGCTTATGGTTGAATAATGCAGAGGGTAAGTCTTTTCTTTTAAGCAGAAAGAAAGGCAACGCACCCAAAAACAGCGCAAGGACAGACAGAAAGAACGAAATAAAGAACGATAAAGAAGAAAGAGATTTAATAAACAATAATTTCATAGGCAAAGAAAGAAAGACAGATAAAGAGCACGGGAAGAAATTAGGACGAATGGAACCTCGTGTTCTAAAAGTGACAACAATGGTCTTGATACTCATAGGTAAAGTAATATGAACTCTCAGTAATCATAGTAATATCAGTTGTTATAGTAGCAATCGTAAGATTTCCGTAATAGTACGACTTGTAATCACAGTCGCAGTAGTAATAAGCGTCTTTTTCTCCATAATATCAGTATAGGGGGAGTTATGTAGCATGGTGTTCATCAACGTGGTGTTCTTGTGGCTGAATGGACGTATGTTGGTAGCAATAATATTCTTGCCACTCATAAGATTAGCGATGTTACTCACATGTTTAGTAAGAACCACTCTTCCGGCTACTTCTTGGTATTGGTAGTACTGTTACATTAGCCACTATTGTTACGATTGCCTTAATTAACCCTGCCGTAACATGCTAGAAGTGTACGCCTGCGCTTGATGTCTAGGCAGAAACTCTGTTTTGCCCTGGCGCGTCTCCGTTTGTTGACTGACAGGCTACATGTAAATGCAGTGGTGTCTCGTGTTTCGCGTGGCATAGGGCGCTGTATGGGATGGTCTGCAGGTGCTCTGGGTTCACCGATGTGGCAGGTTAACTCGGGGCCCGCGCCTAAGATGTCCCGCGTTGGGTTGGTGGCAGATATGGTTGGAAGTGACGGGTTCACAGTTGCCTAGTCCGGCACCCTGTGCAGCATCCGTCCTGACAGGGAAGCCGCGCCCACTGAGGTTCTGCATGGTCCAAGCAGATGGCTGCATCGTCAGCCCGGATTTCGTGGACAAGCAGATGCGTGACAATTCCTGCTTGATCGGACTCGAGCTGGAGCATGGTAGGAGGCGGAAGGATGATCAGGGTTAGTCAGCTTGAGACTGCCACGTGCCTGGACATGTTTTGTCTGTGTATGTACATGATAGTGTTGCTGAGGCCGCCTTGGCCCTTTGTCAGCTTCCCCTGAATAGCCTCTTCCGCACGCGTTAGCCTTTGCTCCGTCAGCCCCCACGGGGCCTACTGGCCCGTGTAGTGCCAAGGCTGCCTGATGTTTTCTAGACCTTGATCGAGGAAGCCAGGGCTTGTACTTCTACGCTGTTTGGTGTCTCACTCGGCCGTGGCAAGGGCTTTTGTCCCATATGGTTGTTTCTTCGTTTATGCACTTGGCCTTCTTGGGAGATTTCAGCACGAACGAATTGCCACTAGCCAGGGGCAGC